AATGGTCTATCTGTGAAATAATGATTTTAAAAATTATATTGAGTATTATTGAAAGAGATTTCTGTACATTCGTGTTTAATAAGAATAAAAAATAATAAAAAATAACTAATGACAAAAATTGGTGTGTCATGGAAATTATTGAAGAAAAAATTCTTTTATAACATAATGATTATGTTCTAAACAATCAAGAACCAACAATTATTTATTCCAGAAGTGATAAAAGCTATAATAAACTGTACGTGTATTACAATTTTTATCAAATTTCTCTTATTCCTTTCTTCAAAATCAGGAAACAATAATATTAAACGTGACAGTCTCATTCATGAATCCTACTCAGCCGTGAAGAGGTTAATTTTTCATTTATACGTTCCCCGATTTTATTTCGACTGTCATTGTTTCATATTTACGTCATCTCATGCTAACGGGATTTTCGGTGAAATTCTGTTTCGAATGGATTCGAACAATGCAGCCAACATCGACCGACCGATCCGACAAGCTGATCGTATTTTCTGATAATGATTTACGGTATATAATATATTCAGCCTTCGTTCCATTGCTTTCGTTACATGGCCCCGGTCGGACGGATGTTATCGGAACGGCCTGCGGCTTGGTTTTTAATTTTTTCACAAATTTTCAACCTCGTGTTCTTGTTTCGCTGCTTTGGTAAAAAAAAAGCCACGGACTGTGATCTCTATAATGTATGCATACAGAAAAGCTGTATGAACCGTGAAATATTTCATTTCTTTGGCTTTAAACGTATTATTTTAAGTACTTTAATATATTATAAATAATACAAAAAACATTTGTAATACTTAGATAGATATATAAGAGAGAATATTTTCTAAATAAGAATTTCTCCGCGGTTGAAAACTTGCGGAAGAAGTCATTCCCAAAAATTTATATAAGTCTCTGTTCTTGTCTTAAATTAACTTGTCTTAATATTCAAGTCTTTATAATCCACGAGAATATATACTGTTGGCTTCATGTGAAATTAGTGCCATAGAAATTATTTTTCTCCAACTAAAATATAGAACCGTGTATGGTTTTCTTTCACTACGGAAAAGAATGAATTCTTATAATAAAGCATGTAAAGTAAAAAAGTCTTTATTACACTATAGGATGTCGTCAAATGAGGCAGGGGTTTATGGACAAAAATATCGGCTTATTACACACTAAAAATGTAGAGCAGATCGCTCGAAAAAAATACATATTATAAGGGAAAATTTAAGGATGTAATTAGTGGTAACTACTAACCTTCAAGGTAATAAAAATACATATAGCAAAAATACGATTTAAGCATTCCTGTCAATTTGACCGGCTAGCAGTGTGAGCGTACCTATAATATCAGCAGTTGCGGGTTAACATGCACTGTACAAAAGAAAGGAAAATACTAAATCTATAAGAAAAAAATAAAGAACAATATATAACGATATTTGCATTGTATTAGATTGGTGAAAAATACTGTTTTCAAAAACTGCACAAGCCAAGAACCATAAAGGCGAAGGCCAACTAACGTATAAGCCCAACACCAATCACACCCATCAACCAATTGTCTCTCCCAACCCTGCAATCCAAACCATCCCACGCATCTTCACTCGCCGACCAAGGAACAAAACTGATTCACGTGAAAGAATCCATGACACAGTTCCCCAAATATCACCAGAAACCAGCCAACGGATGAAGTCGTTTTCTCCGTCGTCAGAGGGGGAGGTGGAAACCGTGAGCCCATCGGCTCCATTCCGGCAGCCCCGAACAAAAGATGGGGCATAAAGTTGGCAGATGGCTTCAGTGGCAGCGTGAAGTGACTTTTAATAAACCAAGTGCTTCAACGACTTGCTCGAGAGACTTACCTCGGGAGGGGTGTGGAAGAGGGACCGGAGGCACACCGAGGTTTCTCCGACGGTTGTTGCCAACGGATCGAGAGGGGTTCGTCGCGGTGGTGCGCAAACCGGAAAGTGGAAATGGCGAGCTGCAGGGCTAGAGGGTAGGGGTTCTGCGGGCTGGTGTATCCCTTTTGTTCTTGGGGCGGGCGTTTTGTTTCAGGATTACGAGCTTATGAAGTATTCGCGTTTATCTGTGGCAACTACATGGCCGGGGGGTGGAGGAGGGGTTGGCGCGAACCTCGAGCGAGGCAACGAAAACCGACGACGGGGGCTGTCTGTTAATCTGCTAGCGGTACTGCTGATTTCGAATTAATTATCGTGTTGAACCGCTGGCTCTGCGCTTAATTCCTGTTCGCGCATCTGTCAACTACAACGTGAACGCGTTCCAGCTGATTTTTTAATGATCGCTGAATTTCACGCTGAATATTTTGGGTTCCCCTGGTTTAAAAAATTGCGGCCCGGTCCGCGAACCGGGAGAAGGGAAATTGCTGGGTGTCTGTTCAGGGCAGGTACGGTGGAAGACCTCGCGAGGACTGGATGGGTAGTTAATTAGAGAGAGAAGTCAATTAGAGGAATGAAAAGTTGCTCAGCTGTCGAGGGAAGTGGTGGTCTAGGGTGTTCGATTTAGATGGTTTCAATGATTTTCAATGATTCGTTCGATATGGGGTCATTTCACGCGAGATCGGGCACTTTTTGGAACACAATTTCGAATTTTTGATATATTGTTGTCTTTAGCGATATATGAACGAAGGATTTTTGAAAAGTTTAAAAATTGTTGATTTTACAGTTGTTTAAAATTTAGGGTCAGCCGTTTTTCAATAAATCATAACTATTGAACTAACAAACTCATCAAAATGATCTTTGGGGGTACTTACGATAGAGACATGAGAGTACTAAATAACAATTATTTCAGTTTAAAACAGCACTTAAAGGAAGCACCCACAAAACTCATTTTGATAAATTTGTTAGTTCAATAGGTATGATATATGGAGAAATAGCTGACCGTAATTTCAAACAACGGTAAAATCAACAATTTTTTAAATTTTCAAAAATCCTTCGTTTATATATCGCTAAAGACTGCAATATATCCAAATTTGAAAAAAATTCTCTTAATGAAGATTGATTTCTTGTAAGGTTTTATGTGTTGTACTGAAAGCTATCATTTGCTATTGCATGACAATATATACATTTGCTATTTTACGATTAAACTGCGAAACTTTATGCAAAATAACATTCTTCAAAGAGACGATAAATTTCAGATGTGATGATTAACGTTCCATCCATTTCTTAAGGACTCTATTCTGACAATAATAAAACAGAGAATGTATTAAATCTGATGTTACTCGTTTTATCTCATGAAAGTACCTAACCCAAACCTATCCAGCGGCTCCCTGATTTGGCATCAGGTTCGTCCGCACCCTAACAGCTCCCTGATTTCGTATCAGGTTCGCCTGTGCAGATTTTCCACCCTCCTCGCAGCTCCTCAGTTACGCGCTCAGTTTGTCTGCGCAATCTCATTCTTGTGACTCCTCGATTTCGCATCGGGTTCGTTCACGCGTTTCACCCTCCTGCGACTCTCTGATTGCGCATCGGGTTCAGTCACAAATGACTCGATTCCGAGAGGCTCCCTGATTTCGTATCAGGTTTGTCTTCGCTTTAAAAAATCCTTTCGCGTTAGATTCGTCCGCGCACCTCACTAACAAAGTGATAAACCATATTCCTTGGAAAACTCACCGGCCTTTCGTGCTGTTCGTGACCCTGACTCGTAACAAGGGTTTGGTGTATTTTTCACTAAAGTACCGGAATATAGGTCAACCATATCTCATAAAAGTACGTAATCCTTTTCACACATTTTCATTCACGCTAATTCCATTACTAATGAAGCAGTTCCTATATTATGAATTGTCTCATAATAAATCTACATTAAAAACACGATTTCATTCAATTCTTCTCATTTATGCGTGATTCTATTCTTCAGACGGTATGACTTGTCAATACGATAGAAGAAAAGAGGCTTACTTTAAAATGCAGACGAATACATTGAGATAATGCAGCAGCTCCGTCTGTTTCTTAATGGACCGCTGTATTATAGACTGTCTTCTATTATAATTTATACGATGCGCAAGTAATTGCAAGGCTGAAGAAACCCCGCAAAAAAAAAAGAAGAAAACGTAATGCGCATAGAATGAACATCGTGTCACCGAAATTCCCTGTCCGCCAACGCTAATCTTGAATTCACCTCGCCAGTTTCTAATTAAATGTCTCATGTTCCGAGCGTTCTCTTTTAATTTACATTTAATTAAATCCATCCGAACCGACTGTCTGCTGACCACTGCATCGTTTCACGAACGGGTTCCCTTATAATAATTTCGGCGAAATGCAATTACGGTCGAAATTATTCCCGTGGTCACGACGAGATTTCAGTTTTTGCAAATGTGCATCCAATCACACTTATTTTTGTTTCCCATGTATCTTTTAGTAGATTATCTGTTCATTTCGGTAAACTCAGATAACCGATAATTACCTATTATTTCCACACACAAGTGCAAATAAACATTGTCACTTGTGAGATATTATTTATCGTCTATAGGATTTTTATACAAACTGTTAAATAATAATAAGATCGACGAACTACTAAGAACAACTGCAAATCGACAATAAGGCATACGAACAATGTACAATTCGACATCGCAAATTTACGACAAGGGGAAATACCGAGTAATGGTCAGACATAGTAAAATTGCTCCTTGTCAATTCGTATCATTAGATGTTGCACACTGATATATATTTACCAGTATTTCTAAAAAGAAATACTGGTAAATATGTATCGATATTCAATAACTATTGATAGAAATGCAAAATTTTCCAACAAATTGATTACAGTCTGCATCTCAAAAGAGGTCATTCGCCAAGAACAGTCATCTACAAACAACTCTCCCCTTTAAGAAGCATTTTTCTGCCACGTGAGCTAGAAAAACACTGTTACTATTCTAAGAAGGGTGTATATATATCCGCGAAGCAACGAAAGGCATAATTTAACGCCAATAAATGTGTGTTGTCGTCGTAAAGGGGACGACGATTAAATATAGATGCATAAGCAGGATAATCAACTTTTACCTTATTTTCGATACCACCGTTGGAGTGAAGTCTAGCTGAAGAAATCCTAACTCCTGTGGCTTGACATCCTCCAAGCTGCTGTATCTCACGTAAGTGCAGGGCGGCGTAGAAAGATCTGAAAATAAATATAAAAAGAGTGTCAATCAGTTTGTGCCAGAAACACCTGATTAATTCCCTTTCCACTATCACTGATCGTGTAAAGAGTTATCGTGTAATATATGATTAGCATTATTATGAGGTCGTGAAGGTTCATTGGTGAATCAGAATTGGAACACCTTTACATTCCTTTAGGAAGAGTTACCTGGTTCAACCAACAGGAAAAACCCATAAATATATTATAGATTGCACATTCTATTGCATATTTTCTTTACCAGTAATAGATGCTTCTACGTATATGAATAAGTGTTGCGTTAGTGATTCTCAAGTATATCAACTTTTTCCTCTGAGTGATTAATTACTATTACTATTTCCAAAAAATGTTTTTGAACAATATATCAATCATACGAGGATAATAACTTGTACAATTGGTGAAACGTGACCCATCTCTAACTTCCACCATATTGTCAAAGACTATGGTTAAATGTATCGATATGTCAGTATATCAGTTTTCATTTACGATGTTTAAGTATTTCAAGGTTCTTTAAGAACTGGATTAAACTTCCCACTGTAATGATTACACCGCGAATGTTCAGATAAATTGATATTTTATTAGTTAATGGACAGAAATTGAGATCAAATAGACATTTATTTACTTCAGTATGAGTTTTTTCAAATTTCAACTGAAACGAATATTTCATAAAACTTTATGATTGTCACCACGGCCATATTTGTTATATTGGAGACTAAACAGACGACGTTGTTTAGACTATCACACAATACAGGGTATCATGTAACTCGTGGTATAACCGGGTATGGGGTGATCCTGTATGAAAAATTAAATCGAAAATATAGAATAACATTTTTTTATTTATGACATCGCTATTGAGAAAATCGACTTCGAAAAGTAATCTGAAATGCGCGTCCATCATGTTACTAAGTAGAAACGGATTGCAATGCACAGACACTCTATCCAAGTCCTAAAAAATTGTATTCTACATTTACGACTTATTTTCGCCCGTGGAATCGCCTACATACCTGATTGCACTACCAGGTATAAGAAACCGTAAACATAAAGAACGATATTATATGAATACTCAGTATTCATTTTGAGTGTTGGATTATCAATTAATAAAAAACTTTAATTCGTAGATAATATAAAAATTCTTTCTTTAAGAACCTTTCAGAAGGTTCACATTCCTGACAATTTCTCTCTATTACTGATTTTTGAACAGTTAGATCTGCGTTATAAATGAATAAAATCCACAGACCAGTCATGATACTCCCTTCAACGATCGCTAGATCAAGCCTGGAGCAAACTACTGTTCACGGCAACGCTGAATTTACTATCGCGCCATGCCGGCCCTGCTTTGTCCACGCTGTTTTTAGTGTTGTAACGGTGCCTGGATGCAATCCTGGGTCGACTAATTTCGTATTTGAACCATGTTCCCCGCTATGAAATCGATCATCGCCCGGTTTTGGACTTCTGCCGGCGCACCGCTTTGTTCCGCGGTGGAACGGCATGAAAGGGCTGGCGGGCTCGAATAACGAGCCGACGGTGTTAACGTCGAAAAATCAATAGGAGACCGTGTACATTCCTCATAAATAAATATGAATATCGCGTATCGCGGCCCTTCACCGTCGAGCGTCGAATGCAAATGCGTTACGACGACGACGACGACGACGACTGCGTGGAGCGGAGACATGCGAGGCAGTTTCAAATCGCGGGTAATATCGAACTGGTCGATGGATACTTAAAGGCGGTTCGATAGCAATTCTGTTCTCTTCAAGTCGCTAGAAAATATTGACGGAGTTGACGGGTGAGACTACGGATTATTGTAGAATATTGTGGGATATTGTAGTATATTGTAGAATATTGTAGAATATTGTAGAATATTGTAGAATATTGTAGAATATTGTAGAATATTGTAGAATATTGTAGAATATTGTAGAATATTATAGAATATTGTAGAATATTGAATATTGTAGAATATTGTAGAATATTGAATATTGTAGAATATTGTTATATTTTAGAATAAAGTAGAAGTTAGTTTACCTGATGTCGAGGAAAAAGGTGACCTCATGTTAGGCTTCTAAAAAATTGTAATCGATGATAAAAATTGGACGATTGAACACAGTTTGTCATCAGAAATGTACTGCAGATTCTTTAACTGGTGTATTTATATCTCAGAAATGGCATTTGTAAGGACAGTTTTTCTGCATGAATGAAATGTTTCATTCTATCTGATCAACGTTTGATAGGCAGAATCTAGTCAGTAACCTAATTCCTGGATTGTTCACTTGAGAGGTACTCATTAATTCTTGTCCTGACTAATAATTGAAGATTGCGTTCAGATAATTGGATTCTATCGTTTCACTGCCATCTGATTTTTAAAATTTTATTCATTAATGTATTCATCTTATTAAAAATTTGAATTTTATATGGAAACAAATGGTAAAGTAAAACTTACTTCACACTTCTCATTAAAAAGTTACATAAAGTACAGGATGAATGTAAGATGTTTTTCTTTATTACCTGAAGTCACTGAAGTACTGTTTTATTCATGATTGGAACTGCTTCCAAATTATAGTTACAAGACAGTTGCTTCGAAGTATTGATCCATCTATAAAAAACAACATGCTAAAATAGAATAGACGACAGAGAAAAAGAACGAGCGGAAATTGCAACAACGAATAACAAAAAGTCAGAAAACAATTAAAGCCCGGATCAAGCGGAGAAAAATTCCTCGCTGAATTGAAACGATCAGGACTTATTAATTACTCGTTACGTCATGCTCGTGATTAAACGTTTCTGTTGTCGAGTTGATCGATCGATCCTCTTGTTTTCCATGATTAAAGGGATATCTACTTGACTGGCCTATAGAAAAGTATTTGCAGAGCTTCCATTTATTCACAAATGAAGAGCTACAAGCTTTCTTACGCGACTAAACAATTGAAAATACAAGAACTTTTCAGCAGTTCAGAATGTATATCTATTGTTTCTAGTCTTCATTATTATTATTTGATTGTAAATTATTGAACTGTTTAAATGATGTTCAGTAAACTACAATGAACCACACCCTGAAAAACGGTCTACTTCTATTCCCATTTATAGTTCCGATATATCCAATCTATTCCATGTACGAATATGCAAAACAGAGTAAAATATTGTCTATTCTAAAGGACAGTAGAACACCAACTTCCGTTTTCATTTAAGAAAATTGTTAAATTAATGTAGATCAGTGATCACATTAATATGTCCAGGGACTATGTATTAAATCAAAATCTGAGATATTTATGCCAACAAAAATTACAGCACCCCATAAAAATCACTCCAAAAGAAGTAAGACAATTCGTCCTAAGTACCGAGCACGGGTCTACAAGAAAATATCTCACCGAATCCCTGCAAGAACAAATCATAAAACTCTCCGCCAGCCGGCAATAAATTCTCCCCTACCGAACCATTACCCCTGGAACCGTTTGCCGCTTCTAAAAAAATTCTTCGCCGCGAAAACAACGACCCGGGATGGCGGCAAAACAACAAGCCGGACAAGGATACGAAAACTTCCGAATCCCCAGCTAAGATAGGGGTAGGGGGTAGGATTGTTGGATGGACGAGTCGAGAGGATGCAACTTTTAGCCGAAGAGTTCCGAAGTCGCCTGAAGCATCTTCGGAGGGGTGTTCTGTATACCAGCGGCAAGACAGCAAGCATTAAACGACGAAATAGCTTTCCCCCCCTTCCATTTCGTTGTGGAGTAGGAAGAGGGGGTAAATAGGAGGGAATTTGTCCTATTTCAAAGCGGACCGGCAAAAAAACGGCCGATTGGCGGAGGCGTGGTGTTCGAGAACTCCGGGAAAAACAGAAAACGTCGGATGAACCACCGGCCCCCCGCGGCGGGCGTGAAAGAACCTCATCGATTTTACAATCTCCGCGCCCCCTGCCCACCCTCCACTCACCTTTACAGACTATTACCCCTTCCGCCCCCCACCTGATAACTTCGTCTCCCGAAATTTTCTCTCCCTTTCCTACCCGCCGTGATCTTCCGCATTTCAACCCCCTCTTTACCATCTCGCGCTCATCCCGCCTTTTCTTTCATCCACGATCCACCCCCCCCCCAACCACCGCGCGTTGCTTCCGCCATTTTTTTTTTCTTTCTCTTTCGGGTCGTATTACGTTCTGCTGATTCACAGTTAATGAGGCGAGAACGGAACCGTGAAGCTATCCCGCGTGAACCAAGGGTGCACGCGAATTATACAAAAATTCCTACCGTTTCACCCACCCCTGACCCCCTCTAGGTTTCTCGGGTCGGGGATAAATTCCAGCGTGACGGGTGGAAACGGCGAGTGGGGTCGCCGGATAAAGATTAAGAGGAATTTGTGCGAGTAATTTTGGGAGGATGGATTTTAGCGTTTCTGTGTTTCCTGTTTAACGTTTTCGTGGATTTATCTTGTTCGCGATATTTAATATTTTTGATGGAAAAAGGGTACATACGATAAAACGATATGTCGAGAAAATCGACTTTAAAGTTTTTATTGGAGTATGACTTAATGAAAAGTGAAGCAATTATATTTTAAAATTAGTAAAACGTTCTGAAAACGGAGGTCATGATTTGAAGATAATATCTGTTTTCGTAAGTGTTTCAAAAAATTGGTTTATGTGTCCTTTTTCCATGAATGATCAAATTTGTATGTTATAAGAAAGTTAAGAGGATGTTACAGTCATATTGTAAGGAAATACAATATTTTCAAAATGGTTGTACTAATTTTCTACTATCTCTCTACAGAAGAATAAATGGAAAAAGTAGGTTCAGGTTTTTTCGTGTGTAGTTTCATTTTGTGAGCAAAGCATATTTGAAGATTCATTAGGTTCCCCTGCATCAAGTCGGGATAGCTCTCTCGTCTGACCATTGCATGGTACTTCTACTTCGAATTAATAGAGACGGTGGTACATATAATTCTGTGTTTCTTCGTGATCTAATAATGAACCCTTAACCATAAACTTAGACCAAATGATAATG